GAATTGATGTTAAAAAAATAAATATATGTAGGGATTTACTAGACTAATCCCCTTAATTAGGTTGTAGACATTCTTATAGATTACTTTCCTCATTGCTAATTAAACAACTTTAAGATATTCCTATGAGTTTGATTACTACATACGTAATTTAATTCCCATTGAATTTCATATAGAAATTTCTGCTTCCTATATTAACTAACTGATGACTACCTAATTAATAATGCATCTTTCTTACCCTATCTATTCACTCACCCTCATATTTTACATAGCATTATTCCTCTTTATACTAATAATGAAATGAATAGACATGGTAGGAAAGAGACGAGTCTTTTTTTTTTGTTACAACATTACTTTGAAATGAAAAGATTACAGTATTGTGAAAAAATTGGAATTTAGCGTAACCAATAAGCTAAGTAAGGCACAAGACGATGGAAAGGCACAAAAATACCAAATAAAGGAATAAAATAAAAGTGAGAATAATATTAGCTACAAACTGAAACTAAAAGTAGGAATTGAAGAATATTAAGGACATAAAGAAGCATAAATAATAACCAAGTTATATACTACAAACCGAAACTAAAAGTAGGAGTATAATTGATGATAAGAAAAACCAGATAATAAAAATCATCACCTTGATTGTAACTATAAATTGATTCAATGTTGTTTATATTCATACAAATTACAACGAAATTAATATTATAAATGAAACTTGATCTCAAGTTAAACACCACCACTCTTTACCAACTAATTAAATTAAGTAATAAATAAATTCATATTGTTGTAGCTTTATGTAAAACTATAGTGATGTAAACATACACTTTAATTTTTGCCCTAATGGAAAATCAAACATAACACGTTTTTCAATTTTTATCGTGATTGGCTCCCGTAAAAATTAGTCAAGATAACGAAAACTTTTATATAATACAACTTTTTATTTTATTTAATTGAAAGAGAAAACACTAAACAACTTTAATTCTATTTTATTATAAGAGAAACCACTAAACAACTAACGTATATATTAATTAATGATTAAGAAATTGTTGTGCAAGATTCACAATGATAATAAAGTAGATTTGACATCTTATGATTGCTACTTGATAATTAGCCAAGTACTACGAAGAAGCCATTATATATAGTATGTTGATAAGGTTTAAAAATTCTATCTTTTTGGATAAAACATTAAACACTACATCTTCTAGATTATGATTTAAAGAGGGGAAATTTATTTAAATAAATACACTGTGACTGAAAATACTGCTCAACTAACAAATTATTTTATTGAGAAAAATGTTGATCGTCCATGCTTGGATCATGTACTATCAATTTCCAATTTAATGATTGGTTTTTGACAAGTCAATTAGCCAGCAATTAGATTTTTTATGGGAAGGTAGTGAACGATATGATTGGCGGCCTCTCTTTCTTATGCAAACTTGGATGGTCCAGATCACCGGATGGACATGACCGAACCATCAGCTCCGTCCAATAAAATTGTTACGATTATTGTCAACTATCTTAGTTAGTTACATACAGTTTTGAAAAATATTATTTTATAAATATTTTTTTATTATATTAAATGATACTTAAATTTACATATATAAATTTGGTACGGCAAGAAAAATGGTCTAAGACTTTTAGAAAAAGATTAGATTTAAGTTATATATAACAATGGACAAACGATTCAAGGCATGAGAAAGATCATAAAAAGTTGAAATACTCTTTTTGTTGTTGCTTACTTTATTAAAATTAATTAAACGGATTACAAACAATATTAGTACGATCTTGTACGTCGTGTCCTTAAACCGAGCAATATTAGTGTGTCATTATACCATCTTAATAGTTGATTTGGTTAAGAACATCAAACTTCATAACCAATGAGATCAAAGTTGGGTTTAAGATAGATTTTTTTGGGGTCTTGTCTGGGCCATAAACTACGGATCCTATTGTTGATTTAGTTAGTATGTCTTTTTCTTAATGTATCATGTAATTAATTACTCGTACTTAATTTTGGGTATGTAGTAGTGATTGATGAAGTGGGAGAAAGCCGATTCACCAAATAATTAGATTTGGGTCATATAACTTTTAATTAGTGTGTAGTTATTCTCTTATATAAAGTGATTAAATTTTGTATTATGAATAAAAAAAGAGGTAGCTAGTTAATAGTTTATTCCATTACATGCTAGGTGAAGACCTAAAAACCCTAGACTCCTTTACCATACCATAGATTACTTATTTAGACTTGATCTTTATTAATTGTTATCTTAATTTAGTTTCATTTATCAATTAATATATAACTATTAAATTTATTAGCTAGAGTATATGACAAAGTTGGTGATTTAGTTACTTCATATCAATAATGTTGTATTAGTTTTTAGAGACTTTTTTTTTCTTCCCATTTTCGAATTCAATATTTGAAGTGTTTCATTCACGATGAGGATCTATTTAGCTTAACATCGGGGAGGGGGAGGGGGAAGGGGGGATGAGGAATCGAAACCATGTCACACGGAGGGAAGACGAAGGGACTAACCATCTCTCCACGTACACCTCATTCCTCCTCCACTCGATTAGTTGACTCAACCTTGCACGCATGATAAAAGCAACCTCTTATCTCATGAATAGCTAGCTAAACTTGTTTTGATATATGTGGACTTGACTTTAATTTGCATTACCTTTCATATTACAAATGAATAAGATTGATAGTGGCCTACCATTTCATCAAAATGAATTGTTACCGACTTGATAATTGATATTATCAATATTATTGTAAAGTATCTCACAAACTCATAGCTAACTCGATTAATTGGCCTTTATCTGTTTTGAAAAAAGATCACACTTCTCAATCTCTTCATTACAACCAGGGTAATTATTGGGAGAGTAAGAAAGAGAATTAAAAAAGGTGAAACATTATAAGATTAAGGGCCTGTTCTCATACGTTGAAATTCAGTTCAGTTCAGTAGCTCAGTTCAGTTCAGCTTATATCTAATGATATTGCTAATGATATAAAGCCAAATTTCATTCTTTTAAACTCTTATTACAACGACGATAATAATAATAATAATAATAATAATAATAATAATAATAATAATAATAATAATAATAATAATAATAACAATAATAATAATAATAATAATAATAATAATAATATTATTATTACTATTATTATTATTATTATTATTGATACAATTCATTGTTCAAATGGTTCTATTTTTTTGATACACATTTCTATTGTTAAACTCATTGAGAAAATTAGAGTACTACACAACTAACTTAAACTAATTTTCATAATCGGTTAGTTTGATCTTCGTCTTCTTCTTGTCCATCAAGCTCCTCCAATACCTCGGCATTCCTCGCTTTGAACTGACTCCCATATCTGATCAGTTATTTCTTGTCGTACAATATCCATAGCTGCTTTTCTGTTAGGATCGTACATAGTATGATCTTCTCTTCGCTCCATGACTTCAACTTGGTGCGTGAATGGAATCCTTAGTTCATGTAAATGAATAAAATTGTGTAGAGTACAACAAGCAACGATTATTTGCAACTGAAAACGTAATTTTTTTTTTATTTTTAATTTTTAAAAAAATTTAAACAACAAAGTGTTTTGTGTTCTTTTGTCATAATACTATTTTATTTTTAAATTATATAGTATATGTGTTTAAAATGTTTTGGGGTTTCATGTTTATAATATATTTTCCATAAATATTATAATTATAAAGTATATTTTTCATAAATATTTTAATATGTACATATGTATGTACACATATGTATAATAATTAATAATCAAAGATCACTAACCCGTAGTTAAAAATCACTAATTACTAAGTTAAGTTCAATTCAGTTCAGTTCAGCTCAGCTCAGCTCAGTTCAGTTCAGTTCAACTGATTTCAATCAATGAGAACAGGCCCTAAGAGCAATCTGATGCAAGTTATTATAATTTGCTTATCACATTAGCTTTTAAGAAAATTTACATAATTGTCACTTTAGCTACTAAGCTTCAATAGCTAGCTATTAGCTTATTATTTAAATAAACCAGGCCAATACTTTCTTAATTAACTTTTTATACAAAAGTATTCCATTTTATTTATTCTATTTTATTATTTATTTTTCATTTGAAAGGTTTTTTTCAAGCATATAGTTAATTAGTTAATTTGCTTGGCCAAGGTTTATTTCAAGCATATAGCTAATTTGTTTGGCCAAGGTAATTGCATTTTCAGCTCCAACGATCAAGCTAATAGCTAGCTAGGGGTTATTTAAAATTGCAAGCAAGTCCATAACTACAACCATATATATATATATATATATATATATATATATATATATATATATATATATATATATATATATATAGGAGTTGCTCTAATAAATTGACATAGTACTCGTAGTACAATGTTGTTGAGAAAAATTAAAATAAAGAGAGTGGATCTAGAAAAGAAATAACGTGGATCAAATCATACTCGAAATAAAAGAAATGAAATTAGGGCATGTTCTATTCAGCTTATTTTCAGTTCATTTCATTTCAGTTTAATTTAGTTTAGTTCAGTTCTTATTTCCTTCTTATATTCATTTCAGTTCAGTTGAGCTCAACTCAGTAAATCAGAACAGACCCACTAAGCGTCGCTAGTGAAGCAAGAAGCCCCAATTGTACGAGCTATCACTTGATGGATTCGCCTTGGCCTCTAGGCATGTCAGAACCGCATGAATTCAACAAGGTGGAGCACAATCTGCCTACATTAGTTAGGAGTAGAAATGTTCCGATTAATTGGTGCAAAAAATACCTTTATTGTTATGCGTATAATAATTGTAACGTATATTTGTATTACACATCTAATAAAACATGTAGTTGAAAAGTGTAACCATTATTTTGAGACGATGGAACAAAGTGTAAGGCAAATGATTATAATACATTATTTGATTACCTAAATAAATTACCTCAGAATTCACTACATATAATTAAGCTATAAGTTGCATGATTGTATAATAATTATTGGTATGGAGCTTACTAAGCTCCCCTCCCAAAATAGAATAGAAAAGAATATACAGAGTAGTTTAGTAGAGTATTTAATTCAAGATAATGTATACAGGTAAGTTTATACTAGTATTATAATCTTATACATACATGTTCCCATTTCTCATGATCACCTGTGCATGCTGCAACATGCTAAATACAAAACCTACTTCAGGTGATTACAGTATGTAACAGTATCTACTCCACTTCTACTATTCCACACTCCACTTCACTCACTACTTGCTACAATTTCCTAACCAATTTTTTTTTTTTTTTTTTTTTAATTTTCCCAACTTTCTCCCTCCAATATTATTTATCTCTTGATATTCATCATCAAATTCTCCAACTTCTTCATTTTCTCTCTCCTAAAAAACCTAAAAATAAAACCCTCAGACCCACCCATCAATTTGGAGGGTCTACAAACTCCACCCAAAAATCAAAATTCCCCCTTTTTTAATTTCTCATAAAAATAAATCATACCTTTGATAATTTAAAAACCATGGAAGATGATCTCCACCAAAACTCCACCTTCCCACTTCACCTTCTTACACATAATCACAATAATAATAATAATAATAAACTCGACTCCATAGAAAATCCTGAACATACTTCTTCTACTACTGTCCTTCAAAGTGGTTCGCCTTCGGGGCCGAAGAAACCGGCCCCGAAGCGAACCTCTTCGAAGGACCGTCACACTAAGGTCGATGGTCGAGGGAGGCGGATTCGAATGCCGGCTCAGTGTGCCGCCCGGGTTTTTCAGCTAACCCGGGAGCTCGGACACCGGTCTGATGGTGAAACTATTGAGTGGCTTTTACAACAGGCTGAACCGTCTGTTATTGCTGCAACCGGAACCGGAACCATTCCCGCCAATTTTACTTCTCTGAGCCTATCGGTTCGACGGTCCGGTTCGACCGTTTCCTCCGGTTCACATACGAGACCGGTTGGGTATAATAATAGTAATTATTTTGGTAATAATTTCTACGTTAGTCCTTCTAATTGGATGGGATTTTCTAACATGTTGATGATCAACGCTGGTGATCAGTTGAGTAATTCTAGCCGTCAGATTAATTTGTTCCCTAATAATGGGTTGGAATTATCCTCTACTAATTCTTCCACAATGTTGAATTTACAACACCCCAGTGCGGATGGTGACACGTGTCATGGTAACAAACGCGGTCATGATGAGGAGGAGCACGAGGAGGATGATGGTGATGATAATGATAATGAAGATCTGGATCGGTCTTTAAATGTCGGGCTTGGGTCGGGCCATGGACCAGGGTTCGGAAATAATAGTACTACAACAACGTGGCCTTATCCTAGTACCACTAGTAATGGTAACGGGACAGTGGCAAGTGGGTTGCATTTTATGAATTTTGTTAATAATAATAGTAATAATAATAATACGAATACTAATACGCCAATGGGGTTTTTAGCCGGGCATCCGGTGGTGGTTGGTGGCTACGAAGGCCAATACGGGATGCTTGGAGGGTTCAATAACGGGTTGAGGGGTGTAATACCGGGTACAATAATTGGATCCTACCCTAATCAAGAAAGGTCAAGTAATAATGTGGATCATGGAGATGCTTCTAGCTAGAAACTAGCTAGCTATTACTACTTACTAGGTATGTTATTTGTAGATGATCAAATTTCAATAATTACGGGAATATATTGAGGTATGAACAAGTTGTGTTGAAAGGTCCATTATATTGTATTGAGATGTAAGTTTTTGACTTTTATTATTGATTGATCCAATTGAATTATATGAGTATGAGAATGAATTTGTTTGTGTGTGTTTCCAAGTTGAATTATACTGTTCTTTTCATCTATTTACTTTATGATTAGTGCCATGATTACATCATTTACATGTAAATGCTCTCTTAATCAAAGACATACATCCTATTAATAGTACATTTGTTATTTATTACGTACTTATTATTTGCAATTCGCATTAAGTGTTTTTTTTTTGTGCAAATTCTATTCTAATATGCACATAGTACAAGTATACATTATGGATTATTTTTTTTCATTTTTTTTTTTCCTATAATCTTAATTACGTAGGGCACTTAGATACAACTTGTATAAAATCACATCATTATGAGCTTATGGCTTAGATAAAGTCCTCGTATGTAAAATCAATTGATTAGAAAAGTCAATTCCATCACAATTAGTCATAACAAGTGGTTAATTAAGCACTTATAATACCTTCACCATTAGTAGTGATTTTTTTCATCACCATATATTAGTAGCTCAGAATTTTCCACTAATTTTCATCTTTCAATTACTTGTATAATTAACCCATTATATTGCATATATATGATTACATGAATGTTATTGCAATTCATTCAATAGCTCAGATTGACTTTGGACAATTAAATCAAAACATTTCTTAGTAGTCCATCTAAGTTATCAATATAACAAGAGAATGAAGTTACAGAAATTGTTATTTTGTAGTTAATATATCAAAGTTTATTTAAAAATAAAACACAAAATTAATCAAATACTCCGTAGTAAATAATTAAATTGTTATTAATTATTAGGGAATTGGGGTATAGAATACAACTTACACTTTTGATTGATAAATAATAGAGCATTTAACTATCTGAACGGTCAATTTATAAGTGGATATTTTGTGATAGAATTATAAGTTATCAAATAATGCATACAAAATAATCTTGCTTACATAATCAATAATGTTTATTGTCACTTACATCCTCGCTTCTTTTTTTACTTGACCTATGTAGTAATGTAGTATGCCTTATACATTATTATTCACATTCCTTTATTTGACCGATTTTTGTGAGTTTTATGTAAGGAAAAAACATATTAGTGAAATTTTGTTAAAATTATCTCTAAAAAGTACTACAATATCATAAAACCTACTCTTTTTTTTAACAATTAAAGCTATTCATGATTAATTTATATATTGACACAAATGATAAATAAAACAGATCAAAAAGTTACTCCGTATTATTTTATATGTCGGTGATGTCACTTGTGTAAACTAAATATCTACCTCTGCATAGTTGTGACTTGTAGGGTTGCAGTCCCGTCCTACCAAGAATATAAAAAAGTAAGCATTCCATTTTGAGACAAAATAAATCTTGTTTGAACATAATTAGACACAAGATTTTCCAAATATAATCATTTTTGCTTAACCTAATGTGACCTATTTAGCCGATGGTAAGTTGGGAAATGGCCAAAAACTTTGGCCATCAAGCTTTTCATGAGCTTTATGCGCACAATTTTATTATGTTGATTTGACAATTTCGTGCTTCTCCATTAATTATGTATCATAATACTTAATTACTCAACATATAATACATAGAATCATTTAAAAATCTTTGTTTTCCTTGACTGCCCATAATAACTGTCCATACACCATAATGCATATATATCTGATCTATTGCATATAAACTTGGATTACTTTATGATTTTCGGCCAGTATAATACTTAAAAGTACCTTGAAGTCTTGGATTAATTAAGATATTGTATTATACTCAATGTATGATCATAGTACAATTCATCAATTTAGACGAATCCATCTACTCTAAATTAAAAACTATGTCTCTTTTGTTATATTGGCCATGGCTTCAGAATTAGCTTTGGACCTTTCCAATTCTTCTCTCGAAATCTCAAAATCCTTTAATTTACTCGCTCCATTATGCATATTATAATCATTTTAAAAAAAATAGAGGTATTTCAAAAAAAAATAAATATATGTATAAATAAATAGAGGAGTTCAAGTTAGAAGATACAACTCAATTCAATGTTTTAAAAGTAAGCTTATTTTGAAATATTTCTGATGAAAAATCTTCATAACTATCCTCAGCTCATTCAAAGCACTACATATTAATATTTGTTTAGGTATGTAAGGAAAAGACGTCTTATAGTATATTAGCAGTGTAACCTCGCACACAACATCCACTAGCTCAAATTAGCATGGGTCATCAGCCCATTTGGAGGTACCCTAGCCAGCTTAACAACTATTTGTATCTAGGGTTTTTTGAAAATGAAGTGCCCTTAACTCATTATTTGTTGCTAAGAATCTTAAGATATACTTCGTAGTTCGTACTATAGCCAAATATTTAAAAACGATCCGCACATATATGATATACACTCATGCATGTAGAGTTTACAACTTTACATGCATCAATACTCTATAGTCTATTCTAGTAGTAAAAGGAATCCTTTGAATTTTGTCTTTATACACGGAAAATGAGAGTTTTATTGGGAGATGATTCAGTGTATTGTAAGAGGGAAGCAACAGCTTTCCATCAAGTAATAGATCATATGCAAATACCACCCGTGCACCTCATAATTACGATGCACTTACTACTACTCTCTCATATTTCATGATACAACAAGCCTACCTGCTGTCATCACTTCACATGCTTTCATCACCTCAAATAAAGGACAAGAGTATGAAATAAAGGTGTTTACAACATAAACAAACTCCTTTTGTCCCTTTAAGTTTGTCTCAATTTCTTAATTCAATCTATTTTCTCAACAAGAAAAATGAAAAAGATACCACCACAGCACATGTCTCCATCGAAAATTGTCAATCGAGCTGTGGGGCAAACTTAGGACCTATTTTCTTCAGCTTAATTCAACTCCAATCAGTTCAATTCAGTTCAGTTTAGTTCACTTCACTTCCTAATTTCCTTTTCTCATAAAGTATTCATTTCAACTCTATTCAGTTCAGTCCAATTCATTTTAGTTAGTCCATTTCATTTCAGTTCAGTCCAATTCATTTTAGTTCAGTTTAGTTCAGTATATCAGAATAGGTTCTTAGAGAAACGGGGGCAAATACAAGTTTATCTTCCAGATAAACAAATTTTTGTTAATCTGATGACATTTTTGTAAATATATTGAAAAAGCATGATCATTTATTCAATACTTTTGGTGAGCTGTTCAATTACAGTTTGCAACTTGTTTTTACTGTTTGGTGAGGAAATTACACATGTACCCCTCAACTAATACATGAAAAGACACGTATACCCCTCCATTGATACTTGAAAAGACGATTATACTCCCATATAAATAATTTTTATTTATCTGATGAATTAACTGGGTACAGCTGGAGCAACGTAGGGAGTGCCTACCATAAATAATGGACGAAATTTAAGTGGTACAATGATGGTGGGAGAAAATAAGTAGTCGTATGCGCGAGTCTAAGCTAGTTTGTGAATGTGCATAATTCAGGGGCATCTAAGGGCCACGGGCAAATTAAAGAAAGAGGACGACAGTAACAATGCCACAACACACATGCATGATCTGATCACACTAATAATCAGCCTTTCAGGTGCTGTGCATCTGTATTTTATGTCCCCCATTATATATATCTCTTTATATTATACACGTATGTACAGTAGGCAAAATTAGCTTGTTTTTATGTGTATTGCCTTGTAAATGTTGCATATTGTCTTACCACCTGAAAGGGTGATTCAATTGATTCCCTTCCTTTTTCATGCATTTTTGTTTCACTACATGACTCTTTTTTTAACTTATTATTATATGCATTGCGTAATAATAAATACACCATTATTCTATTTTTTACTCGTATAGTCGTATGTACTTGTTACATTACATGGTCCCTCTCCCTCCCTTCAATCAATGTGAGTTGTTGCATAAATTGCATTATATTGTTCTCCTGTATTCTTGCATGATATGCTATGGTTTTACTATATATGTTAATATGGATTTACAAGTCAGATATAAGTATAAGGGTCTGTTCTCCTACGTTTATTTTCAGTTCAGTTCCATTCAGCTCCTAATTTTATTCTCTTATAAAATATTCATTTCAGTTCAGTTCAGTTTAGTTTAGTTTAGTTTAGTTCAGCTGAGTTCAGCCTATGAAAACAGGCCCTAAGTGTATAACTATGTTGCAGTAATAATTATTGTAAATTGTTCGTGAGCTTCACTATTCTTGGTCCCCCGTGAGCTAATTCGTTATTTTTCAACTGCTTTAGCTTGAGCTTGTTCCTTCATCTGATACAACAATGGAGTAGTACTAAACTATTAAAGCTGGATTAATTTAGGTTGTTTGCTTGCACACACTATTTCACAAACGTTGTATGTGTGTTAGCTTATTTGTGTTGATAAGGCCACCTGCTAGCTAGTGTCTCCCCAACGAATTATGGAGTATGTATTTTACTATTGTTGTGTGGGGTTGTGGACTTATGGTGCTTTCATTATTTGTGTACTACGGAGTAGTATTTAAATTAAAGTTTAAACATGGAGATTGTTGAATGCTAACATGAGAATATAGGAGAAAATCCTCGTTCATAAGGCTTATGAACGAAATTCGTTCAGAAGAGGGTAATCGCGTCATTTCGGCAATAATAGTAAGGGTAAAGTCGTCCAAATGAAACTTGCCTCTTAACTTCAACATAGCGCCGTTAGTTTATTTAATTTTGACATCCCGTTATTAATTTCCATCCCGTTGCACCCAGCTTCAATAACAACAAGATTATGCATCTGAATGGGATTGTGAATTCAACAAAGCAATTGGGTTTGTCTGAAAGCTCTTCGCCTGTACCAATTTGCTATATACGGATGATAAAGTGTGGAGGAGGTGGTGGCGGTGAGTCGAATTACCTCTTTCTTCAATTACTTCCAATTAGTTTCAGCAATTAAAACCCCTAATTTCCTTATAATTATGGTTTTATCCAATTAGAAATGGCATACTTTGATCGAGAGGAGGGAAAAGATCCATTGAAGGAAAGATTACTATCACTGCCCTTTTGATCAACATTGGTAGCAGATACCACCATTTTATCACACTCCAAGTTCTTCCATT